CGCGTCTTTTTTTAGGAGGCCTGCAGCCATTATGTGGCATAGGGGTTACATCCCGTACGAAAGTTAATAGTATACCACTTCTACGAATAGCTCGTAATGCTGCGTCTCTTCCGAGACCGGGACCCTTTATCATGACTTCCGCTCGTTGCATACCTTGATCCACGACTGTACGAATAGCATTTCCTGCTGCAGTTTGAGCAGCAAAAGGTGTCCCCCGTCTTGTACCCCTAAACCCATAACTACCGGCAGAGGACCAAGAAACTACCCGACCCCGTACATCTGTAACAGTCACAATGGTATTATTGAAACTTGCTTGAACATGAATAACCCCCTTTGGTATTCTACGCACATTCTTACGTGAACCAATACGTGCATTTCTACGTGAACCAATTCTTGGTATAGCTTTTGCCATATTTTATCATCTCATAAATATGAGTCAGAGATATATGGATATATCCATTTCATGTCAAAACAGACCTTTTCTGTTTATTTTTACATCGGGTCTTTTAGAGAGTCTCTTTTAGAAAGATTATCCTTGTCTTTGTTTGTGTCTCGGGTTGGAACAAATTACTATAATTCGTCCCCGCCTGCGGATTAGTCGACATTTTTCACAAATTTTACGAACAGAAGCCCTTATTTTCATATTTGCCCTTCCTTGCCTTAATTCTGAATCTACTTCTTGGAAGAAAATAAGTTTCTTAAAATTTTGAATCTCGAATTGTATTCCCACGGAAGGGAATGTTGAAGGTAAAAAACCCCCTAATCCTTCGAATCCTTGTTGCGGAGTCGATAAATTATACGCCCCCTGGTTGAATCATAACGACTTACTTCAATTTTGACTCTATCCCCGGGCAGTATCCGTATAAAACTACGTCGGATCTTGCCCGAAACATAACCTAGACTCAGATCCTCAATATTTAAACGAACCCGGAACATACCATTGGGAAGCGATTCGGTAATTAAACCTTCATGAATCCATTTTTGTTCTTTCATTCCAGGTAAAATCTCCTTGAAGTATCAACTAATGGAGGAGGAACGATATTAGACAACCTGCCCTTTCTTTTTTTTTTTTCACAAATGGGAAGTTTCGGATCCAATTCGGATATAAGAAGGATTACCATATATAACACAAAATTTCTCCGCCGATTCCTTCTTGGCGAGCCTCTCGGTCTGTCATTATCCCTCGAGAAGTAGAAAGAATTACAATTCCCATTCCACCTAAAATTCTAGGAATTCGTTGATAGTTAGAATAGATTCGTAAACCGGGTCGACTGATCCGTTTTAAATTTAAAAGATTTCTATAAGGCCTTCTCCTATTCCTTCTATGTCGCAGGGTTGAAACCAAAAAATATTTGTTGCTTTCCCAATGTTTCCTTACGTTTTCGATAAAACCTTCTCGTAAAAGTATTTTAACAATGTTTTCGGTAATAGTAGTAGATGGTACTCGAACCACTCTTTTTCTATCCATGTCGGCATTTCGTATAGAGGTTATTACGTCAGCAATAGTGTCCCTACCCATGATGAACTAAAATTATTGGTGTCCCCGAATTCTGATATAATCGACATGTTTTTCTTTCTTTTTTTTTTTTTTTTACTTATTTATTTATGAATATGAATTATTAAAGGTATATGCGTAAGACACAATCTGCTAATTAATCTTAATCTATTTCTTTCAAATACCCTACTATAACCATACCGCGGTCTCGTTTTATAATACCTCGGGAGCTAATGAAACTATTTTAGTAAAATTTAGCTGTCTCAATTCCCGGGCGATCGCACCAAAAACTCGAGTTCCTTTTGGATTTCCTTCTTGATCAATGACAACTGCAGCATTGTCATCATATCGTATTATCATACCGTTGTCACGTTTGAGTTCTTTACAGGTACGCACAATTACAGCTCTGACTACTTCTGATCTTTCTAGGGGCATGTTTGGTACTGCTTCTTTGATCACAGCAACAATAACGTCACCAATATGAGCGTATCGACGATTGCTAGTTCCTATGATTTGAATACACATCAATTCTCGAGCCCCGCTGTTATCCGCTACATTCAAATGGGTCTGGGGTTGAATCATATCATTTTTTTTATCTGTTCTTTCAATGCAAAGGTCGAAGAAAAAAAAGAAATATTGGTTGTCCAAAAAGCAAAACCTGCGATTTTTTTCATTCCCAAGACCTATTTCCTTTGGTTCTGCATTCTTATCCCGAAATAATGAATTGAGTTCGTATAGGCATTTTTGACGTCGCTATTGAAATAGCCTTTCTGGCTATAGTTTCTGTTACTCCGCTTATTTCATAAAGTATTCGACCCGGTTTAACAACAGCTACCCAAAATTCAGGGGATCCTTTCCCCGAACCCATACGCGTTTCTGTAGGTCTTACTGTAACCGGTTTGTCGGGAAAAATACGTACCCATATTTTTCCACCACGACGTGCATTTCGTGTCATTGCTCGTCGTCCGGCTTCTATTTATCTAGATGTGATCCAAGCGGGTTCAA